CTGACAGAAAAACATATCAATGCAAACAGCACATGAAGGCTGAAATGGCTATCATAATCAAATAAAACAGAATACAGAATGAATAATATTACCAGTGATAAAAGAAAGATTTCATAAAGACACAGAGATATGCCATCATCATGGATTATATGAGTTGGTACTGTTAAGACATTCATAGCCCCAAGTTGATGTAAGTATTCAATCTGATCCCTTTCAAACCTACAGTAGGCTTTTTTGTCTTTTTCTTCCTCCCCTTCCCTTCCCTTCCCTCTCCTCCCTCCTTCCTTCCTTTCCTTTCCCTTCCCTCCTTCCTTCTTTTCTCTCCCTTCCTTCCTTCTTTCCTTCCTTCCTTCCTTCCTTCCTTCCTTCCTTCCTTCCTTCCTTCCTTCAAATAGAGGCTCAGAGGTGATTCTAAATTTTTATTGAAATGCAAAGGACTCAGCATGTCATAAAATTATGGCTGAAAGATAAAGTTATACTACCTCCTATAAGACCTACTATAAAGCTACAGTAATCAAAGCAGATGGTACTAACAAAATAACAGACAAGTCAGCCAATGAAACAAAACGGAAATTCCAGAAATAAAGACTAGATATATGGTCATTTGATTATTTATTTGTTTGTTTATTTATTTGTTTTTGAGAGAGAGAGAGAGAGCGAGAGAGAGGGAGAGAGTGGGAAAGAGCATGAGCAGAGTAGAAGGACAGAGGGAGAGAGGATCTTAAGCAGGCTCCACACTCAGCACAGAGCTTGACATGGGGCTCAATCCCATAACCTGGGATCATGTTCTGAGCCAAAATCAAGAGTGGAACATTCAACTGGGCCACTCAGGTGTCCTTGGTCATTTGATTTTCAATGAAGCCACCAAAGTGATCTAATGGGAGAAAAAAGTCCTCAACACATGGTTCAGCAATAATCAAATACCCAAATGTAAAAAAGTGAACTTGACTTCCAGTCATATAACACACAAAAGTTAATCTGATGATGATGAAATAGAAATGAAAGTGATACAGCTTCCAGAGGAAAACACTTATCACCATGTTTTGAAAGAAGTCAAAGGTTTCTTAACATATAAAAAGTAATAAATGTGTAAGAAAACTGGATGAATGAGACTTCATCAGAAGTTCAAAATGTCTGCTCATCAAAATACACCACTGAGACAAGGAATAGGTAAGGCATGAACTGAGAGAAAATATGTAAAAAAAGATTTGACATAGGAATATTACATAGAATATATAAAGAACCCATACAAATTGGTAATAAAAGACAACCTTCCCTCAAAATACTGTGGGAAAGATTTGAAGAGACTTTTCCCTTAGGAAGATACATGTATGGCTAGTCAGCACTTGAAAAAAATGCTTAACATCATTTGTCATCAGGGAAGCACCAACTCGAAGTAAAATGAGTCACTGTTCAATCTCCATTAGAATGGTTAAAAATAAAAATGATAACATCAAAAGCTGGTGAACATGTGAGGCATATATTGCAGGGAAAAGTATAAAATGATACAAACATTTTTGGGAAAAAAGTCTTAGAGTTTCTTTTTTTTAATGTTTGTTTGTTTATTTATTTAGAGAGAGCAAGCAAGCGGAGGAGGGACAGAGAGAGAAAGAGGGAGAGAGAGAGAATCCCAAGCAGGCTCTGGCTGTCAGTGCAGAGCCCAATGTGGGGCTCAAACCCACAAACTGTGAGATCAGCACCTGAACTGAAATCAAGGGTTGGATGCTTAACTGACTGAACCACTTAGGCGCCCCTCATTCTTGGAGTTTCCTTGAAATCAAACACATACATACCCTATGGCCTAGTACTTTCATTCCTAGCTGTTTACCAAAGAGAAATAAAGGCGTTTGCCCATAAAGACTTGAACTATGAAGCTCACAACAGGTTTACTTAGAATACCTCAATACCTGGAAACAGCCTAGGTGTCGACCAAAATGATAATACATACATTGATTTGCTTATACAAGGGCACATTACTCAACAATAAAGAGGAAGAAATTATACTTCTACTGAAAAGCGAACTTCAAAAACATCCTGAGTGAAATAAATTTTACTCAAAAGAGTGTACACACTACATTTTCCTTATATGATGCTCTAGAACAGAAAAAAACTGAGCTAGGATGAAAAAAATCAGGACAATGACTGCCTTTCTTTTTTTTTTTTTTTTTAAATTGTTTATAGTTTATTTATTTTTGAGACAGAGAGAGACAGAACGTGAGCAGGGGAGGGGCAGAGAGAGAGAGGGAGACACAGAATCTGAAACAGGCTCCAGGCTCTGAGCTGCCAGCCCAGAACCTGATGCAGGGCTTGAATTCACAAACTGTGAGATCATGACCTGAGCCGAAGTTGGACACTTAATGGACTGAGCCATCCAGGCCCCAATGACTGCCTTTCTAAGGACGGTGGCAGGTGTTGACTGGGAAGAGACATGCCAGAAACTTTCTGGACTGATGATAATGTTTTGTATCTTTGAGAGGGATTTGCAAGGAAACAGGTTACATATTTGCCTACACTCATCAAAGGGTATACTTAAGAACTGAGGCTAAATTCTGGGATGGTGATCCCTCCCGTTTTGGTTTTATTTTTCAGGATTACTTTGGCTATTCGGGGTCTTTTGTGGTTCCATACAAATTTTTGGATAGTTTGTTCTAGTTTTGAGAAGTATGCTGGTGCAATTTTGATGGGAATTGCATTGAATGTGTAGAGTGCTTTAGGTAGTAATGACATCTTAACTATATTTATTCTTCCTATCCATGAGCATGGAATGTTTTTCCATTTCTTTGTGTCTTCTTCAATTTCCTTCATAAGTTTTCTATAGTTTTCATCATACAGATCTCTTGTATCCTTGGTTAGGTTTATTCCGAGGTATTTTATGGTTTTTGGTGCAATTGTGAATGGGATCAGTTTCTTGATTTCTCTTTCTGTTGCTTCATCATTGGTGTATAAAAATGCAACCGATTTCTGTACGTTGATTTTGTACCCTGCAACTTGGCTGAATTCTTGGATCAGTTCTAGTAGGCTACAAAGCTGTCATCATCAAGACAGTATGGTATTGGCACAAAAACAGACACATAGACCAATGGAACAGAATTGAGAACTCAGAAGTGGACCCAAAAGTATACATCCAACTAATCTTTGACAAAACAGGAAAGAATATCCAATGGAAAAAAGACAGCCTTTTTAACAGATGGTGTTGGGAGAATTGGACAGCAACATGCAGAAGAATGAAAGTAGATCATTTTCTCACACCATGCACAAAAATAAACTCAAAATGGATCAAGGACCTGAACGTGAGACAGGAAACTATCAACACCCTAGAGGAGAAAGCAGGAAACAACCTCCTTGACCTCCACCGCAGCAACTTCTTACTCGACACATCCCCAAAAGCAAGGGAATCAAGAGCAAAAATAAACTGTTGGGACCTCATCAAGATTAAAAGCTTGTGCACAGCCAAGGAAACAACCCAGAAAATTAATAGGCAACCAATGGAATGGGAAAAGATAGTTGCAAATGACATATCAGATAAAGGGTTAATATCCAGAATCTATAAGGAACTCACCAAACTCCACACCCGAAAAACAAACAACCCAGTGAAGAAATGGGCAGAAGACATGAACAGACACTTCTCCAAAGAGGACATCCAGATGGCCAACAGACACATGAAACGATGCTCAGCATCGCTCCTCATCAGGGAAATACAAATCAAAACCACACTGAGATACCACCTCACGCCAGTCAGAGTGGCTAAAATGAGCAAATCAGAGAACTCTAGATGCTGGCGAGGATGTGGAGAAACGGGCACCCTCCTACACTGTTGGTGGGAATGTAAACGGGTACAGCCCCTCTGGAAAACAGTGTGGAGGTTCCTCAGGAAACTAACAATAGAACTCCCCTATGACCCAGCAATAGCACTGCTAGGAATTTACCCAAGGGATACAGAAATGCTGAGGCATAGGAGCACATGGACCCCAATGTTCATAGCAGCACTCTCCACAATAGCCGAAACATGGAAAGAGCCTAAGTGTCCATCAACGGACGAATGGATCAAGAAGATGTGGTTTATCTATACCATGGAATACTACATGGCAATGAGAAACAATGAAATCTGGCCATGTGTAGCAACATGGATGGACCTTGAGGGTGTTATGCTGAGCGAAATAAGTCAGGCAGAGAAGGACAAATATCATATGTGTGCACGTATAGGAGGACTAGGAGGAACTTAACAGATGACCAACCGGGAGAAGAAGGGGGGAAATGGTGGGGGAAAGGGAGAGAGGCAAACCATGAGAGACTCTTGAATGCTGACAAAAACTGAGTACTGATGGATGTAGGGGGGAGGAGGGATGGGCATGGAGGAGGGCACTTGTGGGGATGAGCACTGGGTGTTATGTGGAAACTAATTTGACAATAAACTATTTGTAAAAAAAAAAAAAAAAAAGAAATTGGAAAAAAAAAAAGAACTGAGTGGTTCACTGTGTATAAAGTTTTACCTTAAAAAAAAAAATAAAGAAATTTTATATAACGAAGTGTTAAGCCATGAGGTGTACTAATGTCTGTAGCTTACCTGGCAATATAGCTAAAAAAAAAAAAAAAGATGAACTGACGGATGAACAAAGGAACGATTACATGCACAGATATAATAAAAGCAGCTACACAAATATGTAGATAATACAGTAAGTGTGGTAAAATGTTCACTGCAGAATCTAGATGGCACACATATAGGTGTTAAGTCTACAATTCTCTTAACATTTTTGTATATGAAAATATTAGAAAAAAATAATTATCTTGCTTTATCCAGAAGAAATCTGTTAAAAAAAGAGGTTTCAGTAGAAGTCATTAAGTATGGCTAAGCATAAATCGGTTGTTTCGAAAACTCTGAATTATGAGAAAAACAGAGCACATTTTCCATATCTCTGAAACACATGCAATAAGACTTTCTCCATTCTGCATCGGAAAAAAGAAAAAAAAAAAAAGGAAAAAGAAAAGAAATGATCACTGACCTTTTTTCTTTTCCTTTGCTTGGTTTTAGCCAAGTCTTGTCCAGCACTCCCATTGCCGAGGGGCCCTGCTGCGGTTTTCCCTGGGTGCTGTGATCCGGACGATGGTGCTGTTGGTGTAGGAGGAGGTGTGTTCTCAGGAGACTCCGGGTAGGGCTTCATGCAACATCCCTGCCCAGAGAGATGTGGTTCTGAAATCAAGTGACCACGACTTCTACTGACATTCAATTTTGTTTAATACCTCCTGAATTCAATACTTCTTGAATCAATACTTACAAATCTCAAAACACAGTCTATGATTATCCAGTCCACATAAATGGTGCCCCATCGTGCCCCCTGACAGTCTAAAAGTGTTCATTTTTAATTTGGCTAATCAGCTTAATCTTAATCTACTATAGCTTCTGAAATTTCTGTTGCTTCAGTCAGATAGATTTCTACTCGGAGGCTATGCTAGCATGTCAGACTGACATGTCTCAAAAGGCACCTCTGGATTCCCCCCCCAAACGGGATGCCATCCAGACATGATTTGTATCAGTGTGACCAGCCTTCTACCAGTGACTCAAACTCAGTGCCTGAGGGTCCCTGTAGATACCTCTAGCTCCTTCCATTTCTAGTTCTTTCCTTCATTCATAATATCCCTCATTTCTATCTAATCTCTCTGGCCATGACTGCAGGTCTGTTCTCTCTTCCATGTGGAAGCACTTCAAATATTTGAGGACTGTTACTTTTCATAGCCTCTTTTCTTTTACAGGTCATATTACCTCAGATTCCTTCAACCACTTATTTCTGGTTCTTTCACCCTCTAATTACTCTCCTTGAGATATCCTTTATTGTGTCAATGTCCATCCTACAGGATGGTACTAAACAAAAAAAGTTTCCTTATCAGTAACATTACAATATTAGCTCCTAAGAAATTTAGAGGCCAATAAAGGCCTGGAAGTTTTTTTCATATATGGTGTTATGAATCCACATCTTCCTTATCCTACCATCTATACTAACCATACTATCTGCTGGCCTACACTTCCCTCTATTTAAAAAAATTAAGCTAAATGTTGTAAAACATTGGGCTGAAATGCACGTATTGGTTTCAAAAGTCTCTCGTTGATTTGCCTGCTTAGTAACATTATCAAACAAGAAGGAATAAAGCTGATTTTGCATAAGTTGTTCTTAGGCAAAACAAGGTAACTCCTAGAGATCACGGCGTGGCATCATAAACCATATGTTCAAACAATACTAAAAATTAACTTCAGTTCATATTAAATGTGTGCTAATCTGAGAACCCAAGCTTAACAAGCTTGGTTCCTTATAAGCCTAGATTTTAAGAATGATAGTCATTAAAATAGAATGTATTATGTATTAATTCCATGCCTTGGGAGCTTCCGAATCCAATCCAAAGCATGTAGCACCTCCATTAGGATCTTCTTAAAACACCCATTTGAACTCACTGCCCTTTAGGAGCCAAGAAACCTTCAACTCTTCCTTAACTCTAAGAAAGAGCCTAAGGCTTAATTTTCTTTAAAAAATTTTTTTTTAAATGTTTTATTTCTGAGAGAGAGAGAGAGAGAGAGAGAGAGAGAGAGAGAGAGAGAGAGAGACAGCGTGAGTAGGGGAGGGTCAGATAGAGGGAGATACAGAATCTGAAACAGGCTCCAGGCTCTGAGCTGTCAGCACAGAGCCCAACACGGGGCTCGAACCCACGAACTGTGAGATCATGACCTGAGCCGGAGTCAGACGCTTAACTGACTGAGCCACCCAGGTGTCCCTTAAGGCTTAATTTTCTAATCTGACTTCCTCCTCCTCCTCCACCTCCTCCTCTTCAATAAATCCTTTGCTTGAATATTTTAATCAGCTTTGTTTTTCCCTTCTACAATTATACCTATGCTGCCTCTGAGGCCTACAGTATTCTCCCCACTTTTACCATTGTCAAAGTCCTGTCTTCCCTCAACACAAGCCTCCTCTCTGAAGTCTTTGCAGTCCGGGATTGCTTTTACCTCCGCACTTCCGGTCTATGGCACTCATTTGGAAATTAGCATATGTTATCTCGAATTGTCTGTTTGCTTGTTCTTTATTTCCTTGTTTGCTTTACAGAACACAGATCATACCAGTCTTTGGGGTTCCTCTTTGTACCCAATGCGGTAAAGCCCTTTAAGGCAGGTCCTTGATGTTGGTTGCTGGTTTGTAACGAGGATGAGTAAGAGTCCTCCTTTAGAGTGGCCATTCTCTGTGTTTTGTCAGGTAATAAAGGGCAGGAAGATTTCCAGTCCCTCTGAATGTTCATTTTGACCACCAGTGGCACAGGAGGAGGGGTGTCTGGAAGGCCAGGGAAACGCTTGAGGCTTTCCTAACATATTTAGTCAGGATGCTTTCCGACACTCCTGCTCCCGCCTCCCAGAGAGCCCGGGAAACCCAGCACACACAGGCCATTTTTCTTAACTGCTGGGTAGCTGGGAGCAGCAGCTGTGGTTGCTGAGTGGTTGCCCAGGGCGGCCTGGCCACCCTGGAGAACCAAGAAAGAAGGGAAATAAAGAGCTTTCCTAGCCATGCAAGCAATCCCTTGAATGTTAAGGGAAAACTAGGCTTGTTATGTTCACTGTAAATTTCTTCAATTAGAAATGTTACAACAAATTTGTCTGATGTTAATGAAAAGCATACTTATGCACATATTCATAAAGTGAACATGTACCAAAGATATTTTTAAAGGGTGTTCTTTGACATCGTAATTTGGGTTTGTAACATAAAGAAAACAAAGTGTTTAATCAACTGAGTAAGCTTTAGGGACCTTAAAGTATGATGATTGATAATGATATATGATCTTTTCTAAGAAAAAAAAAAAGATTTGTAATGGGCATAAACACTTTAATTTCTACTAGGATTCCAAGCCAATCTGATTCCCCAAGGGGCATAAAAAGATGTCAAACTTTTGACTTATAGTAAGATACATAGGCATATATACTTATATATTTTCTAAGTACCCTTGAGCAGAGATGCTTAAACTTGAGGTCCATAGGGTTCATAGATCCTGTAGATCCATCGAATGGTTTCAGAGGGTCTCTAAACACCCTGAATTGTAGACGAAATTTGTGAATGTGCTGATGGAGACAGGGTTTATAGTTTTTGCCAACTTCTCAAAGGGCCTTAGCCATTTTCAGGTTATTATATATTTCATCCAACTTGATCTAAAGCTCACTTCATAATTATACACGTAGATGTCAACCTGACTTCCCTGCTGCCTTCTCTATGGTTATTAGATTGAATTATCTGAAATTGCTGTTTATGCTGGTATATATTAGCAAATTCATTCCGTAGATGATACTACATTTCTGGTTTGTAGGCACATGCTGCTTACAGAGAATCTCTTTCATACTAAGAGTGGTACACAGTTATTGCACAATGTCTTAATGTTTGGCAAGAAGATTTTATGGTCCCCTAAGTGGGGGTCTTGGCCACATAAACTGGTTCAGAAAGGATGTGATCCTCACATCACAGGGCCAATCTGAACAAAGAGAATAAGTGGAGCCATGCTTCTTTAAATCAAGTTTAGAGCTGGATTGATAAATGGGAAGTAAAATTATCAGTAAATGTTGGGAATTATCAGGACGTTAATAATAGTGATTCTTTCATTTCCAAGGCACAGAGAAATCAAGAAATCTTCTCAACATTGTTCAATTGCCCAAACCAGCTGTTCACTTCCCATGGAAATGAGGTGAGGTCTGCAACTATCCTTCCTCCACTGCAGGGCTAGGGAAGTGAGACAAGGCAATAAAAAGATGAACAAATAATTGTATTACGTGGCTTGTGAGGGCCTGGAACATAGTAGGAACTCAGAAAATCTTTGAATGCTGAGTGTGTTCAGATTCCTGACTGAAAGCTACCATCAACACCAGACACGAGGAACATCCGTAGATGTGTCAAAGACAGACTGTTTGCTACTCACCTCAGCAGAGCTGTGATACTGAATGAAGGTTGCAGAAATGGCATGGCTGAAGGGGTCTCCTGCCTTGGTTACCATGTCCTGCCTCACAAGAAGAGCCAGGTCCACTAACTAGAAGATTGGAATAATAAAAAGAAGTTACGCAGATGGAAAGAATCACCAATGTCACTCAAGTGGCAAAACCAAAAGCAACCTACTCCAAATGTTATTGATCATATAGTCTGCCTAAAAATCTGTATTGTGCCCAGGAGCATATGCTTTCATTGAGTGATAAATGGACCTACCCATGACTAGAAACGATATTCTGACTTCCCAGGAGAGTGGTTCTCAAATTTTATTTAATAATCACTATGGAAGCACTTTAAAATAGAGATTTCTGGGCTCTAGATACTGAGTTTCGAATTTGGTAGGTATGCTCTGGGTTACATTTTATTTTCTTTTTTAAAAATTTCTTTATTTTGAGGGGTTGGGGAGGAGCAGAGAGAGAGGCAGAGGAAGAATCCCAAGTAGGCTCCGTGCTGTCAGCACAGAGGCCTGACACGGGGCTCAATCTCATGACCTGTGAGATCATGACCTGAGCTGAAATCAAGAGTTGGATGCTTTGGCTGAGCTCCCCCGGCACCCCTCTGGGTTAACATTTTAAACAAGCAGCCTTAAGAAGCTGATGCTTGTGGTCAAAGGACCATGCTTTGATTCTGGATTCACGTTTTGGCAAGCACTCAGTAGACAATACATATCTAGAAAGGTATTTTTCAAAGCTCAAAAATAACCTCTAAACAAGGTAGATGTGTACTTAGAATTCAATGTTGAGAAAAAATATGCAGGGATACCACTTGTGGTTAGGATCAAGTTGCAACAAACAGTCACTTTTGGCCTAACATCCACCACCAGAGCTGAGGATACAAGGAAATAGAACTGAACAAAATTTCGGAAAATGATAAGACTGTCATAGGATAAAACTCATGGCTATTCTTGTTCCCAGAAGAGTAGTGGGTGGGAAGCCTGATCATGGATGGGATTAGGAGAGAACAGTCATGCATGGCCTGCTATGACAGATATTGGAATGCTTACCTGTGCCACAGTTTCATATGCTAAATACGCTAAAATTTCCATAGCGACAACATTGGGTTTTATCTCCATACTGCTGCAGTCCAACCAATCTCGAAATTTGGAGGCTTTTTTGGCTAGCCATCAAAAAAACAAGTATTGAAAAGTTAATTTTTAAAGTGTTTTCATACTTCATGTTACTATCACAAAATGAAAATGGCTCTTGAAAATTACATTTGGAAAATAATGCATCTAAAACGCTGTATTCTCAAAGTTTTATTAGTGTCGAGATAGTCAAGCCCCAAGAAATTCCTTACGTATTTGGGTCTTTCCATTTTATATGCGTACTACATAACACAGTGCATGGGATGACTTAATGTTCAGACCTTCTCACAGTGTCAGAATAAGTCATCACTGGCCATAGCTCATGTTTTAACAACAGTCAAAGGGGCTGCTTGATTGTAACTTTAATTTATGCTTGGGGAAAGAAATTCCTGCAAGAAAGAACCTGTGATTAAAAAAAAAAAAAGGAATGTACAGAAACTGTATTTGTAATGTCTATTACTGGATCAGGCTCAATGTCACAAATTCAGAATAAAGTAGAAAAAGTTTATGCCTGCAGTTACATTTTCCTGATTACAAAGATGTCCAAATTCTTTTTTTTTTTTTTTTTACAAATAGTTTATTGTCAAATTAGTTTCCACATAACACTCAGTGCTCATCCCCAAAGTGCCCTCCTCCATGCCCATCACCCATTTCCCCCTCTTCCTTACCCCCATCAACCCTCAGTTTGTTTTCTGTATTTAAGAGTCTCTTATGGCTTGTCTCCCTCCTTCTCTGTTTATAACTTTTTCCCCCTTCCCCTCTCCCAAGGGTCCTCTGTTAAGTTTCTCAAGATCCACATATGAGTGAAAACATATGGTGTCTATCTTTCTCTGCCTGACATATTTCACTTAGCATAATACTCTCCAGATCTATCCATGTTACTACAAATGGCCAGATTTCATTCTTTCTCACTGCCAAGTAGTATTCCATTCCATAAATCACAACTTCTTGATCCATTCATCAGTTGATGGATATTTACACTCTTTCTATAATTTGGCTACTGTTGAAAGATGTCCCAGTTCCTAAGCCTGACTTTCCAAACCCTCCAGACTGATTTCAACCTGTCTTTATACTATTGCCTACTGAAATGCTACCTGGCCTGGAGTCTAACCCTCTCTGTGTTCACCCTGGCTCCTTTCCCTCCACGGAATGGCATCCCACTTCTCTTCTTCACTCACACAAATACTGCCTGTATTGTGTACTTCCCCACAGAGTCAATTACTGAACACTTATATCATCAGATACCCTTTCATGTCTGCGTATCATTTCTGAAACTGTCTTAGAAGATTTTTTGCAGGCAAACAGCATGCATCAGGTCTCTCTGCATACCTAATGGTACTAAGAGCATGTGGAACCTTCCGGTAAATATCTCTAAACTGCCACAGTGCTAGGCAGAGTCTTACCTAATGTAGGGCCTTTATTAGATATTACTAATTCAAACAGTAATCAACAGGGAAGAGAGTGATGGTAAAGATTTTATCTTATCTACAACATAATGATGTTTTTAGCAATTTCTGCTGATTTTTCTTTTGGTTAATCTGGTCCCACAAAGCCCTTAACAGTCACTGAAAGCATGATGTTTGGATCCTTACTGATACGAGCTTCATGGATTCCACATACAGAAGAGTTTTCTTTTAAATAAATCACAGAAGACATGAAGTCTTGCTATCAAAGTGTATGTCCAAAGCTGTCAACTGTGGCAGAATTATGATAATCCTCTTAAAACTATCTCCCCAAAGTAACCAATCTTCCCCCTACTCTCTGACATGCAACATTCCATCTAACTAGCGAGCTGCAATAGCTCCCAAACACTTGTGTAACATCTGTGGAATACTTCTGAAGTTAAAGTTAACAGGCAGCAATTTGGCAAAATCAATAAAATGTACCATACTCACTTCTCCCTTTGACAGGTTGTTAAGAACACAGAAACAGGTATTTTGTGACTATGCGCTAAGCGATTTAAGAGAGGGAAGGGATAACTCTCAGTATTCCATCAGATGTGTCCACCTAAGCAGCAGCACTGGTAGCTTCCTCGCTAGATTTTAAGCTATAGAATGCAGGGATAAGGGCCATGTGTCCACCCTTGTATCCCCAGCACCTAGAATGCAAATACTGCCTGGCATCAGCAGACTTACAATAAATATTTCTAGAAAAAAAATGAATGAACAAATGAAAGAAAGATACTTCTTTAAAGGGTAGGGTCTCAACTCTTCTCCATCAAAAAGGTATACAGAGGTCCCATAAAACCACTGTGGGTTACTGCTATTCCAACAACAGGTGAAGATGCCCTGAGATAATTCCCTCCCTGTCAGCTGGAGGACGGCTTCAGAGACAGACCTTCCCATGATTATTGCTGGGAAACACCATGTGCAGCAGAAGAGGCACACATGCTCCCAGTCATGACAGTTTGTTTCCATCGAGAGGTGGGGGGCGCCAGAATGAATGAGGTCCTTCACTTTTACCCCTCTTCTCAGTACATCAGGAGAAAGGGTAATCGTGGAAACTGATCAACAATTTCAACAGAATCCTGAACAAAGGTCGGAAGTGCCTAGGATTATCAGTCTTCTGACACTACCCGGTTTTTTGGCCTGTGCTGGAATTAAAACAACTTTCTATAAGTTCATAAGGGAAATTTAAGATTAGTGAATTTTCATACACGTTTTATCTTTCTCATCACTGATCACCAGAAAAATTCAAGTTTCTCTCGGTATCCCATTCTCCCATCCCTGCGTACTTATCTCCTTATTTCTATCCCAATCCTCTCTGAGTCCTTCCATGCTGATCCGTCCCTTAGCACCCCCTCTAATGCTCATTCCACTCTGAAGAAATTTTTCTGCAACTTCAGTCTCTTTAAAATGACTGCTACTTGGATTAAATGAAAGTAATCCTTCTCAGAGGTCATCGTCACCCCTGGAATCTTTTCTAGTAGAGGTTCTTTCTTCCTTTCCTTCTGTACATATATACTGAGCAGCCACAGACTGCCCACCTGTTCATCTCCCCATACACCAGGGGGCTGGGAGATCAGACCTTCATTCTCTGAGTTTTTCTGACAGGGAAAACATAGGACAAGTGGACAGGGACTCCTTACCAACTAAAAGACAACACCATCCTGTTTGAACAAATAACTACTAGCCCACAATTTCCTACTCGACCAAACTACCATTTAAGTATGCGGGCAAAATAAAGCATTTTTAAGACAAAAATGAGTGCTGTAAGCTCTTACAGAACCTTGGGAAAAACAAAATTAGGCTGAGACGGAATGTTTACTAATGACCAACTTTAAAAATTTAAGACAAGGATGCATATGAAAAAATTAAGGATAGCAACTAGAATAACAGAATATACATTATACAAACTGAGGAAAAATGGAATGAAGAAAATCTAATTAATCCAAGAGAACAATGAAAAGGAGAAGGAAAAGCAAATAAAAAAGCACAGTTAATTTAAAGCACAACAACAGCATATAAACCCAAGTGTATAAGTAAACACACATTAGTTAAGATCATCAATTAAAATACAAGGAGATTCTCAGATGGACTAAAAAGAAAATCTGCATACTTGTTAACAAAATTCACATATGAAACAAAAGGTTGAAAGGAAAGGCTTGGAAAAAAGATTTACCAGCTTATAACTAAACTTAAGCTTTGTGAATTGATATTCATATCAGATTTTAAAAGACTTTAAGGAAAAGGACTATCTAACTTATATAAACACAAAAACAAAAGTATAGGTGAATTTGCTCAGTATCTCATTCTGCAACTTACCTTCAGGCTAAAAAGTTATACTTGTTAATTTAAAAATGCACCAGTAGTCCCAATCAGTGAATGTCAAGATCAAATATTTAAGAAGAACATACAACTGGATCACAATTCCTATATCCTGGTGACTTATCACAAGGGGAAAAATGAAAAGAGTCTACCATTCTGACCAGTGTGGGTATTAGTTCTGAATTTGCTGACCCACTTGGACTAAGCATTTCCCACCACAGCATTCTGGCATATAAAATAGTCTTCCACTAAGGTTTTATAATGAAGCACCTATGGGCATCATATGAAAAAATATTGTTAAATGTCCAAATCCATCTTCTTGAAAAATATTAAGCATAACAGACTGTTTAAACTCTAATTATTTTCTATAGAAAGGGAAACTATTCATATTTGATGTATTATACTTAATTACTGAGTTACAAACAAAACACTGAGTTGTTAAAAATCTGATTTTCAAACACAGTTTGTATTAGGACATTTTCGTGGCTATCTATCTGTTTTAGTGGGAAATAGCACTTCTGTTCCTTTAAGTGAATTAAATTTAAAATATGATTTTAAAAAATAGTTCAATAGCACTAAATGTTACTTTATAAACTGGAGATTTATACTTATAAGAGACCTGAATGCCATTTTTAAACCTAAAAATTACAATACAAAAACCTCTCATTTGCTGAAATTGCCATGATCTGAAGTGTCATTTACTTAATGCTTCACAGATGTATGATGCCAAGCTGTTAGTCAGACTGCAAAGTATATTTAGTTAGGGGAAAAAAAGCTTCCAAAACATGTTTTCCTATATTTTACTGACATTTACATGGGGCACTATTTGAAATGTGTCATTTATTTGCACTTTATGATCTACAAATGAAGCTCTCATTTTCTTTCTTCAAATCAAATGCATTGTTATATGACCACAGAACAGTTTAAAGACACCATTGTGTCTCTAGTCCCTCAGACCAGGGTCATGTGCTATTTTGTCAGAGTTTTAACTGGACTTTTCATCACACTTGCTCTTTGACCTTTCCCCTGAGAGTCTTAGTCATCACGAGGCTTTCTGTGCTTTTAGTTAGCTTGTGTGCAACAATGGAACAGTACTAACTTTATCACTAGGTTATCGGTGTTACAAGAGCATGCACTAGTGAATTTGGCTAACACTGAATGCTTGTTACAGCAGGGGGTTACGGACAAATATGGAAGAGACTATTGATCTGCCCCTCTGTGGTAACATGAGTATGCATAAATAAATGGAAAGCCTGGTATTTATTAATATTAGGGGCTTTTAAATGTCATGACTGTGTGACTACAGTCCATTATGGGTCAAGTACAATCAGCAACACTAGTGTAAATATGACTAAGAAACTGGAAAAGAACTTAAGAGTGGGAATGTTAAAAAAAATGGAGGTTTTTCTGACTCAATGTGAATAATTTACATGGCTCTTTGTGTATTAACAGCACCCTTTAAAACCTCAAGACTATTAATGACAAAATAGTAGAGTGGGGTAAAATCTTTTATAAACTCCCCTACAATGGAGGGGCTGTTTCTGTCACAGTTATAACTATGCATATATTAAATTCACCAATTTCTAAGGAATGAAGATGGCATCATACTTTAGTATATCTGCAACATATAATCTCTTAAACATATAATGAAGCAAAATTAAACATTTACTTACAGAAACTTAATTGTCGACTTTCACAGAATTCTGCATATTGAGCTGAATCCATAATTCGAGTTTGTCTTTCTGCTCTCTAACAGATAAAAAGACACACAACGTTTCAGAGCAAGCAGACCACTATCTATGTTTTCTTGGCTAAAACGCAGAAACGAAATTCCATTTTTCTTTCCTGACTTTAAGTAAACAGTTTAGTACCACCATAAATATCACGATACATAAAGTTATGTTAAGAAACAGTAAGTAGTTTTGAAGCTTGTGTCTTTTGGAAGTTTAAAGTACCATTTTCTTCTCCTCTGTTATTGTCATTATAGCTGAAGGGAAAAAAAAAAACTAAAGGATTGTACTTCGAAGATTGTGTACTTCTAAATTTTCTGAGTCACCATCCTTTTAAGGAAGAACTGTGAGGAGATGATACCAAATTAAGCAGAAAAACTGTTAATCATTATCGCCCATCTTCTGCCGTAAGGCTGGGGATTTGCAATGTTAAACTTGGAGTCAATGAATGGAATCCATATATTTTCCCTCAGAACATGGAGCCAGAGCTAACAAATCCGTATTTTAAACTGCAAAGAAAATAAAGAAAAAGGTAAACACAACACAAAACCTTTAATCTGAGTCCAGGTATGATTCACAGTTTGGTAGAGTTTCATTCGTGGGTTTTTGGTTCAGTATAGCAGATGTTTGCTGCTTCATTGTCCCACAAGAGGTAGGATAATTATAATTCACCCATAGTTCGGTGGGAAAGAATATGACCGCTTCCGCTTCCTTGGCAAGGGAAGCATTTTGAAATGAGACAGGCTGGTACTTCTTGGAATGAGATTCTGGCCAGTAAAGGAAAAAAATTCCCTGAGATTTTAATTTTTTTTCTGCTGTGGAAGGACTCTCAGCAAGTTTTCTTTATCACCGCTGGAGTATATAAGTACCACTGCTAACGTCTGGATATTTTCATATTTTTTTAAAACTGAAATTATTGTTTTTTCATTTTGTCTGATTTGAGTAGTGGTCAACTGAATTCTGATGATATATCTGTTGATGGAATGAATGACGGTGCAGTAGCTGCTGCTCAATATAGAAAAGACAGATGGGGTGGTGGGAGTTAAGGTAAAATTTACTAGCTACTGTGGTTCCTTCTAAGACCACTGACGTTTTTCCCCTTGTTTCTTTTTTTCTACTCCTTCCTTCTCTTCTTTCCTTCCAAATCTCTCCCGATCCCATACATGCAAACATGCCTATGTGCTGACACACCCAGACTTCTTTATTTACCTTCTAGGTTCAAGTACCCTTTTTGAACATGTAATAGTAAACACTGTGCACACATTATGTACCTTGTGTGCATTAGGGTCCTCTTGCACCTATCTGAAACACCATGTTTCCTTAAGGATATGTTGTTGGGTGAAGTATTCTTTGATATGTGAATGCATGATATAGTTTTGTCCTTCTTTTTAGGGTATCTGACACGTGACTCACTAAATGTTTGCCAATGGACAGTAGGAAATAAGAGAGACTTTTGAACACAACACATCAGTTACTAAGGTGTTTATTAAAAAACAGGTTCTAAGGCTCACACTGTTATCATTAATGTCTGTCTGTCCGTGTCTGACTATAGCAGGAATCTCTTACATTTGTTATTTCCAGCTCCTAGAGAATTTCTGACACACGATAATTAAACAATGAAACCTCCGTGAAATGAACAAATGCTATCATTTTAGTCTACAATCAGGGCAAATGACCATCATCGCCATGATGTGGCTAGTCCTTGATTATCTATGTATTCCTATATGTCTCCTCTTCTCTGCTGTTCTCTGGCTACGCAGCCTCATCCGCCCGATACATGCTAAACAGAAAGGACTTAGATGAATAATGGAAAAAGAAAATTCCTACTGGGATTCTTAATACTAACTTTTCTTCCACCGAACTGGACAACTGAGATTTGGCTTCTGTGTAGATGTTTACCATGGTTGATATATCTGAATATGTATTTCTGGAAACGGAAGTTAGGAAAACTTATCCTAAGAGGCTCAGGCGGCCAGCTTTAGTCAAGTGAGGTATTTGATGTAAGATCTCGAACTACATTTAAAAGACACTACAGGACTTTCAACTCTTAGAGCTAGCTTCGATTCCTTTCAGATACCTGATTCAGTGTCTCTCGTCTTTTCTTCATAAAGTACCTTGGGTTTGATTTCAATTCCTCTAACACTGAAGCAGTAGAGCCCCATGAAGCTGGCCCTTGGATGTGAGCAGGAAGCCACTGACTAAATGTCCAGTATACAGCAAACGCTCAGGGAAGAGCAGCTGACGTGATAGCAAAGATGCACAGGCACTACAAAACCACGGTGTATCAGAGATAGAGGATGACTTCAAGTTCATCTTGTTCAACCACCCCTCATTTTTAAGAGAAGGAAATTGAGGCTCAGAGAGAAGTGCTTTGCCAAAGGTGATCAAGTTAGTACTGGAGGCCCAGACTGCCAATTCCTGAGCTGGCCTATTCTCGTTATAAGAAGTTGCCTCCAACCTACAGTAATGTTTTTGCTCTAATTATTTTTCTTTGGAATCCTTTAAAGTCTATACATCTCTTACTAAGCCATATCATGTGCGGACACATACCGTTTTCCCCTCAACCTTCTAAATGTGCAGGAGGCTGAGACAGCAGAACCCCCAGGCCAGTATCTGGCTGTAAGCTGCCTTGTCCATTTACCTCAGTGTGGCATAAAAAGATCATTTTCTAGTGTGTGTCATGACATGAAAGAGGTTGGGAAGCAGTTGTACTAATACCAATGTCCTTGAATGTTATATGACACAGTGCAGGTGTGCTATTCGCAAGTGAGCTCAAAATGAAATCAGAGACCCTGGCAGTCGAGGATGTTGAGGGTGATTCAGATATGCTCATCATGCTAATTTTCGTTTACTCCTCTTTCTTCCCCATGAATTATTTCAAATAATTGAAAGAAAGGGACAAATGTGGCCTTATAAAAGGGTCCAAATCACTCAGCATCTGATTATATTATCTCCGGTCTATATGCTGTCACCTTAAAATTGGCAAAAGTAGTAAATATTTAACCGTCATAGGCTCTGTGTTCTTTAAAGATAGTAACTACGTTTTACTTCTCTAATCTCAGCATTGGTCAGTGTTTAGCCTGGATTTACCTTGGTCCCTGTAAATGTTGCTGGCTAGCTGCATGGGCGGGCAGGCAGGCGGATGGATGGATGGAGGCAAAAGAAATGCATAAAAATCCCTGTTGCCTGATCTAAAATCAGGCACTGTGAATATGTGTAATCAAGTTGTCCAAATTGCAGAGAGGGCAGGTGGTTTTTTAAAGCCCAAGTCCCATAAAAAAAGTCAAGTCATTGGCCTACTGGTTAAATAGGGTTAACTCCTATTTTCTGTAATGTCCTAACTCCACTTTCCCTTTTGCCTCTATTCAGATCACGCATTACAATCCATGCTTTGAGTGCACACTGGTAGTTCCTTTTCTATTCCTGGTACTGTAGGGAATCTCTGGAAAACATGCAAGGGGGAAAATCAGAAGCCCTGTAGAACAACATGCTCAGAAAAACAATGCTTATTCTTTACAGAGAGCAGCACAATGGCCTGTAAAATAAACAGTTGTAAAAACTCCATTTTACAGTTGAGGACACTGAGATTTAGAGAAGTAAAAAAAATCTTTTTTTTCAGAGAAGTAAAAAAAAAAATTTTTTTAAGCATATAGTGGGTAAAGCTAGTAAGTAAAACTTGGGTCCTAGATGACCGAGTGTTAAGTATATCACTGAATAATCACGGCAGGTTAATCATAGCTTTTATTCATACTGGATATTCTCAAATTACACAATGTTCTCCTGATCTCAGACTGCCACATGGACGTAAGGTCATCAGTGGATTAGTCATGCTCATGTATCTGCAAGTCCAATTTGTTTTCTACTTAGTCTGTCAATTCTACCCAGTCCTTGGTTTATGGTACATACTAGACGATTTTTAAGAAATTAAATCTTACTAGTATTACAATCTAGCAAAGTATTACCATATAGGGGCATACATGGAAAAAATCACCTTTGGAAGAATTATTCCTAACATTTTCCAAGCACGCAACAATATTTTAAAATTTCACTGGAATGGCTCTTTAAAAAGGTAAGAGAGCATAGTTATGCTAATAGTCATTCATCTCACTACCAAGAAGTTACAGCTTTTTCTGGTTATTGTAAAGCAGACTCAGAAGGCAGAATTCCATGCCAGATGAACTCATTTTCTTGGGTCCTACCTAAATGAAAACAGGGAAGCAAATACCCCTACAGATGCAGTACCTAGTATGATTCCTATGTTCAACACCTTGAACAAAACAGACTCTGAGTATACATCTGTTAATTTAAATTTTCAGTGAAGAGTTCTCATTTCAATTAGCATGAAACTGCTTGGGTCTTGGAAAAATATTTTCAGCAGTGACGATCACCATTTGCCCCTGTCTATACCCGTTTGAGGCATGAGGCTGGATTACTTATGCAGCATACAGTTTCATTTAAATTCTCTGCATGCTTTCACTGAAGCATCCAGGAAGGTTAGAGAAACTATGTGCTGGCATATCTCTTGGTGGCTTCTCAAGACACATGACATTTATCTTTCTCCCATGATACAAAATCACAGAACATAACTTTTAAATCAAGATGAAAGTTTATCTGCTCTCACTTCCACCTCGGATTTTTTTTTTTTAAATCTTACTTTGATTACTCTTAGAAGTCTTACGATTGAAACCCAAAATCCTTTCTGCATGGAAATGGCAAAGTGCCAACAGTAATCTACCAACTACCTCATGTTAAACAGGAATTGGTTGCTGAACTTGAAAACCGCAAACGGCACGGTTGGTGGTAGCATCAAGCAATGTGAAAACGCACAGATTATGGAAGGCACATGCGTGTTCATGTATGCTGTGGTTCATCTGCAGAATGATACGAATAGATCAGTAAACACCACAGAATGCTAAAGACACTTAGACACCATATCCTTCATTCACTCTAGGTAAAGAAAGGGAGGTTCAGGAAGGTTAAAGGGTTTACCTAGATTGCTGCAGTCAACCAGGTACCCAC